TTATATTATATTCTATTTTATTTCAATTATTAAAATATTCTTATCTCAACCCACAGGTTTTACATTTTTTCTGATTTTCCACCCCTCCCACCATGGGTGGAGGGTGGTGAGCAAGTGACTGCATCATACTCAGTTAAACCATGGCAACACAACATCTAACAGTCCAGCTATTCAATTTAAAAATATTTTCTTTTTTTCTTTTTTCTTTTTTTTTTTGTAGATATGGGACAACGGGAAAATGACTCATTAGTAGCTCTGTGTGGGTGTATAAGCCTATAGATTAAAAATGCCAGAGGAGTACAGAAAAATACAGTGGGAGTAGAAATTGAGCTGAAGATTTTGTCAGCTTCAGAAGCAATGGATGTAGTTTCAGATCTATATTTCACCATTTAGTTGTATCAGTGAGAACTTGGTATTAGAACAAACACATGACTTCTCAGTCGCGGTTGAATTTCCGTCATTTTATCTGACTAATTATTAATGTCTTGTCTATCAAGTGGTTTAATATCTCTGTGGTATAAACATCAAGAAATGACAGAAATTTTCACTTCTGAGCTGACATGTCCAAGTATTTAACTCAGCCAAAAATGGTGAGAGAACAACTCCTGTCTAAATTAGACAGATGAACAGATCACAAGAGGAAGCCTTAAAGCATTACTAGGCTGCTTTGGTCTGAAATATACCCAGAAAAATGCACATTGTGCAGTGGCAGGGGGCGTATTAAAGGGAACCAGGGAAGGGGGGGTGTCAGCCACTATTTTTGAGACTTTTTAGATCCTACCAAAATGTAAAATTGAAATGTCAACACCAAAAAAAGAGTGCTTTGCTGCAATACAACAAACCTCAGCATCAACACAGTGTCACTGAACACAGATTTGCCTGAAAACACTAATGTTTTCTGCTCACTATACATCCACTCAAGTATAATTTTTAAAGTAACAATAATAACCACCCTTCCACCCAAACATGTTTTTTACACATTGTTTTAAAGATGGGAACTTTAGAGACAAATGCTGCTCTTTCTTGTCAACTGGCAAAATTGGGAGTAATTGGAGCTATTCCTGATCCTTGGCTCTGTCAGGAGGTCAAGGAAGAATACCCTCAGTACTGAGGCAGGCTTCTGGCATATGAAGTGAGGTCTGATCTTCCCCCTCAGGAAGCCGATGATCCCCCAGCAGGAATGCCCTGGGAGCTAGGGCAGGTAAACCAGGTTTCTGCACTATGAAGGACTCTGGCTGCAGGAAGCTTCTCGTAAACATCAGCTGTTTATGTTTCTAAGGGTAGCTTCTTCTCTCTTTGAGGTGTACACAGCTTCTTACCTTTCACTGGGGACCACAGTGCCTTTTAGCACAAACTAAACCTGACAACTTGAAAGTAGCAAAAAGCTCTGCTCTCTGAATCTTTTGACCTGGCTTTTTACACGACAATGTCCCAAGGCAAAATTCCTTATTTCTTTGCCACTAGTAAATGTTTGCATTTCAGAGGTGTCTTGGAGGCCCTTCAAACTGTATAGAAGCTGTGGATTTGGAGAATGCCTGAAGAAGACTGTCTCCCCACACCCTCATTCTGCTTTGGCTTTTATATTTCTTGTATATGTGAAGCCACCGTCTTGTAATCTGACAAAACAGAAATGACACCTTCTCTTTTTGTCGGACAGGTAGACTTCTGAGATGAACAGTAGCACCTATCCAGTACAAACATGCAGGGGAATGTTGATGTGCTAATGCTCAGAGCCCTCTGATGAGTGTCGTAGACATTTTCATTAGAAGCTGTCCAGATAAAGAAAACAAGCAATCATATGGTTAAAAGACTAATGCTAAAATCAGAGTCTGAGATGAAGAAAAGCCTAGAAGGAAAGAGAGTAGAGAACTTCCTCCTGCTAAAGGCCAAAGGAGCCTTGCAGACTGGTTTGGCAGGTCATAGTTACATGTGCATCACCTCTTACAGTGTGGCAGGGGAAGAAATCCCAAACCAGTGTGGCCACAGCACTTAACAGGATTGTGGACCCAGTCTCAAGCCTGAGGTCAAGGGTTCTCTAGCAGAGATTTAGGAGCTCACAATTATGCACAGGTCAGGCTCTGTAAATTTTCATTGCCTCCACTTAGGAAAAATATAAGGTCATGTTTTCAATTTACGATTTGCTCCTGGCATTTCTGGTGATACTTAAGTTATGGTTCTTAGAATAATTTAGTAATCAGGCTCAGATTTGTCTCAAGATTTCTTTTGTATTTGTATACATTTAGAGTCACCCATGACTAGAGTTTGTTAATTACAGCTTTTGAATCAGTTCTCCCCAGAATTACAGAGATTCTTTTATTTAAAATAACAGTAGGAACATAATAAACAAAGAGAGGAAAATAATCAAAGACAATTGCCTTTAAGCTGATCCACATAATGTTATATTGGATACCCCAGTAAAGTAAAAAATATTTAGAAATGACTGATTATTTTATGGCAGTGAAAACTAAATGCTTTCAGCTTCTTATTGGAAAGAATAATCAAATTGCATCATGTTGCTGCCTTAATCCTATTAGGGCTTAAAGAACATTAGTTTATTTACAGCCTTCTTTCATCTAACACTAGACAGAGCCCTGTATTAAATCATTATTCAGAGTTGCTTTAATATGGTACTTCCCAGTTCCATGTTTCTCACTCACACTGAAAATGGTTCATTTTAAGAACTGACAGATTAACATTAGTATTTCTGAAAAATTAAAAAGAATATTTTTTTAACTTGTCATGTAGTTAATTATGTATTAAAAATCTCAGTTGTTTTCATTACTAAGAGAGACTTAGTTTTAGCTTATCTGCACACTAACATTTTAGAAAATGATATTTAGTTCTATTTAGTCATATTCCTAGTTATGTCTCTTTTGTGATTCACCTGTTTCCCAGGGGCCTCATATTTTAGCTTTTCCATATTGATATCAACACAGAATCTTTCTCAGTTCCCAGAAGGCTTCTTTTAAGCCACTTGTTTCCAGTTTGTTTCAAATCTTTTCTTACAATATCCTCTTATGCCACACACAGCAACTATTCACCAGATGCATGAAGTACTCTTAAGTTGGCTCCATTCCTCAAAATTACTAATTTCTATTTTTTTGACTTCATAGTTGCTGATTGTGCTGTTTCCTCAGAACAGTTGTTACTAGAAACAGTCCAGGTGTCAGTGACTAAGGCCACAAAACCTCCAAAAAATTCTTAATATATTCCCTTTCTCATGTATTTTTCCTGGACCTTCTAAGACTGAGCAACCAAACATCAGTATCAGTAGGTAATTGTGGAATCCAGAATTTACTGCAGAACTTTCATAATCTATGAGACCTACATTTCAACAGCTGCTTTTGCATCCTAAATAACATTAGTATTTTCCCCCAGATATTAATTAAATGTATATGACAAATGTAGATGTTTTTCATGGGAATTAATTTCTTGGCTACCCTATCAGGTCCCTTGGCATTTTATCTCAGAAGATGAAAAGTGCATAAAACTACATCGCAGCTGCAAATTTTCTCTATAGTGGAGGTGTCTTGCAGCTGACATCTTGAGGGTTGTCCCAAGCATTACAATTTGTAGAACTGAAATACATGAAGATAGAACTGCCTAGTGTAAAATGCTACACACTTTTGAATCGAGAGGACAAATTCCACAGTGCAGGAAAAGATAACAGTAGCTGCATTTGTATATACCTGTTACAATACTGTCTTCAATTACATGATCACGTGTCATACTATTCCATAGCACTCTGTTTATTCTGATGTTTCAAGAATTGCATTAAAAAAAAGTCATTTCCCAAACAACTGTAAATCCTAGATTTTTTACTATTTTCTTTATAATAAGCTAAAATTTATTATGTTTTTGTATGTAATAATGGTAGACATGGCAGAAGTATTTTTGGTAGTTTACAAAACTACATTCAAGTAGCATATTAATACTGCTTATCCATTTTCTAGGATTTATTTTCTCCCTTATTCTTCTTTGGGCCTATCAAAAGCCTCTTTTTTCTAACTACTTCATATCCTACAACAGATGTTTTGCTGATCCTTTTCTCAGAAAAAGAAGGGAACATAAAAGCAACTACTCCCCAGGAGCACAAGCTGATCCCTTTAAGGGCTTACTTTAAGCCCCCAGTCTGAAGGATTTTGTGGGAAAGCACCTGAGGAGTGAATACTTCTGATTTGCAGGAAGCTTTCTCTTGAGAACTGGTGATTACAGCAAGATGCTGGGAAGCCAGTCATCTCTCCCATTGTTCCAGTCACAGGAACAACACACAAGGGCAGAATAAATACCAGAATATCATATTTGACAGTATTCATGTAGTGAAAAACCCACATAGAAGTCTCATAGGTGACTTACATATACACCTGTGTTGGGTAAATTACTGAATAATCCCGAAAACAAGAATCAAGGTAGAGGTTGTCAATACTACCTTTGTTCATTTTCCTTTCTGCATTTCAATACATTGTACAGGAGATACTCTTCATGTATTAAATGTATTAAATGTATTCAGAGTTATCATAGGTATCTTTTTTTTTTTCATCTGATACCATGCATTAACATAGAGTTGCATCATCTAATCTATAACCTTTCTGTTTCTAAATACTATGATCAAATAAAGTTCCTTTAGACTATATGCTGACTACTATGCTTTAGGATCTAGCTTTCCCAGTGCTGATGGGACAGTTACAGCTGTGCAATCTTCTCATTGCCAACTATATCCACTTTGGACACAGACAAGGAGAAGAGAATTTACCCTCTTTGCAGTGTTCTAATCAAAATACAGAATGTTCATGGGTGGTGGCTAAGGAAAGAATGTTTTGTGTTTCACATATTCCCAGGCATGACAGAAAAGTTAAATGACATGCTAATTGAGAAATTGCATCTGCTGGAGAAACTCCTCACAGTCTTCTGAAATCCATCCCCATTTAGATAAAATCCATCCCCATTTAGAAGTGTAAGTCCAAATGTGGGTATTGGGTTTTTTTAATATTTTTTTTTTCTCTGAAAGGTAAATGTGTATACAATCAGTATCACTGAATGGAGGTGCTGTCTTCATCCACAGCTTTAGAAAGATCTCCTGCAAAACAAAACGGTAAATAATTTATATTCTCAAAACTATAATAAGGATCATGAAATTCAGATAGGCCTCAGCCATTTTGTATATCAGTTTTTTTGGTGTGAGTGTTTAGGTTTGGACCAGTAGACATACAGATATTTTCATATCTGGATTTGGATGTGTGCAAATCCTTAGAGTGTTTGAATGGCAGGTTTGGATCTCAATCTTCTGTCTTTTCCCATCTTTCTAAGTGGCTTTTTCATCACACTCTACATAAAAGGAAAAAAAAAAGAAAAAAAAAGAAAAGTAAAAAAGAAGAAAAAAAAAAGGAAAAATAAAGAAGGCCTTCTCGTCCCACTGAAGCTGTAGTACAAATCTTTTCAAAGTTTGGAGAAAACTATGACTATAATTTAAAAGTGTATTGTTAACTTTTTATTTTGTACAAACCAGTCACACATATTTGTTGAATTTCTTGTGAAACTAGTGGCCTGAAACATCTTTGTTATTCTTGTTAGCATTTTTATTACATTAAACAGAAAAGGGAAGTAAACTTGAACTGAGTGGACTTGTCAGCACTGTCAGTGTGTTGCTGTGTAGATTCTGTGTGAAAAAGACAATGAAATTATGAGAATAAAGAAGTCTGAGTAAGTCCAGGAAACACTTATTACCTCACTATTCTTCCTCTTTTTATTTTTTTTTCCAAATCTTTGTTTGGTTTCCTTGTTTTGGTAAAAATAATAGAAAGAGCAAATGTATCAGTTGAATGAAGTAGAATGAAGGAATGACACCCTTACATTGGCCTTAGGACTGTATTTTGGTTCCTGCCTTTATTCAGTATCTTCCCACGTGTATAATGCAAAAGAGGGATTAATTTCTCTGATGCTCTATCCGGAACAACCTTTAAGCTAAATATTTCCTCTGTATGTTAGATTCATTGTCCAGCTGAATTGTTGCTACAAAATGTTGCTATGAAAGCAACAGAGGAGAGACAACTGGTGACTTGTTTGGAGATGGGAAGTGGGTGAAGTTGGTCACACCACCTAGTCAACTCAAAAGGTCCCCATGGGTGTCTTCTTTTGTGAACTGTGAGAATCCAGAAGTTTTCCCCAAAATCAGAGACAGTTTGAGTCATATGCATTTTTCAAATGTCAGTTCAGCAAGTTGCATAACCTTGAAAACCATACAAATGGGTTTCACTTTTCTGCAGAATAATTCACACACACAGAAACCCCTACATAATGACATCACGACACAAAATCCTGAAATGTTCAGGTCTGTTCACAACTCTGGTATTTTCTATTGTATAGGACATAGAATGGGTTTTTTTTTTCGTTTTGGTGTGGGTTTTTTTTTTTTTTTTTGATTGGTTAGTTTGTGGGGTTTTTTTAATTAAAAAAACAAATAGCAAATACCACAGAAGGTCAACTGGAATACATATTGTGCCTTCATTACTAAAATACAAATAATTGTGGCTATCACTCACAAACAGCAAATTTTTTATCAATATTTTAAATAGTCCTACCAGAACTGATCCTTTATAGCAGGAGAGGAGAAGGGACTCTCAATTTAAGGAAATTTAAGAAAAACTTTTACGAAAACAAATTCAGATATAAAAGACATTGCAACTGTATCTTAATAATAGTAGCTATACTCCAAGAGAAACTGCTAATTTAATCATATGATATCAATGCAAATATTGCTTCTTATGGTTAAACAAGGTTTTTAAAATATGTTTATATTTAAAATATCTATGTTTTAAATAAAAGGTTTGTTGTTTTTTCATGGGAGATTTGTCAGTATACTCAGTAGTCATGTTGGGTTTAAGAGAAAGGTAAACACACCTACTGATACTTTGTCTTTTTATATACCGCATACTAGCTACAGACATAGCCTTCAGCATTACAATAAAAAGTGTCTATGAGCTGTCTTCCTTCCCCCACCTCACTCCCAGAAAGCATTATTACTCAGAAATTTTCCAGCTGGTAAGAGAGTAAGGAAATGTTTGAGCTCAATTATTTTCAAGTCATTGATAACTTACTTTAATTAAAATATTTCTGAAACTGCATCTGAGCATTTAGTGTGTGTAGAGGGCAATACTCTATACTGTGCTATGCTGAGGAGTTTTGCAAAATGAAAAATAAAAAGCATCCATGCTTTGTAAATACATTTTTAGTGGCTGGGAAGTTGTCTTGTACAAATAGTTTTGTGTTGCGCCGCATACTGACACCTCTGAAATTGTGCTTGAAGTAGTTTATAGCTTTGTCTAAACTGGGGTAACTGCGCACGATGGTTTATAGAATGACGAATTACTCTTCGCATTTACAGGACTCTGTACAGTTGTTGGGTTTAGCACTGCTATATAAAGCATTAAGCTTATTACGCCCAAAAGAATTAAATTATGCTGAGGCAATTTGATTAGTTGTGTCCAAAGGAAGACACAATGGTAATGAGCTAAAAGCTTGAAGTGAATATAGTTACCAGCAGTACATCACAGTTAAAGAAAAATATTTGTGTAAGCATTTTCATTTAATCTATTTTCCCTTTTATTCAGTTCATTTGCCATTCCTGTAAAAATGCTTTTTGACTTCCAGATGATTCAAAGCATTAAAGTTGATTGAGCTTTCTAACTTTATTTCGGTGTTTATACTCATTACACACAATCTTGTGTTCACAATCTGTATCAGAAATTCTGAGTTCGTTGGATTTCTTTCGAAATGTTTAATATTAGGCATCCTAATTTAAATTTTTCTTGAAACATACAGGTCTGTGTATGAATTATGATACAAAAAATATAAGAGCACCTACTCATTTCAGTCTGGCAAAATTAGACCAGTCATGAATGCAGTCTGGTTGATATTTCATTAGAATTATTTTTCGTTGAAGCAAATGGAAAACCGAGGTGCCTCATAGTGGTCTGCTAAATGCTGGAGAAGAGAGAAGACTGCTGAAGTAGTAAGGCAACATGCTGGGAAAATCAACAGACTCCTGCAGAAGCAGGTCATTCAGCACCTTGTCTTCAGAAGCAGGTAGTGTGATTCAGTGATGGCAAGGGCTGTCTCATGGGCAGCCTTCACAGCACAGCTATTTTCAGCAATATATAATTTGACAAGCATTTTCATCTCAGCACAATTTAGCATATTTATTCCTCCATAAGTTTTAATTCCGCTTAAGAGGAATGATCCTATCAACATAAAGAGGTCATAAGGATTGCTTCATGATCAGATTAACCTCTCTTCGACTTCATTCTCTCAAAACTTTAGATCAGTTCTCCTTGATTTTGGAAACAATTTGTGTGCTGTTTCCAGGTTACTCTTTCCAATTTACTGATATGATGCTATGTTTATTTAATACTATCTATTGCTTTATTTATTTTTATTAATATATAGGCCCATTCCCACCATATAGCCTAATGCCATGAGGATAGTATTACCCAAACACTGTATTCGATGATTTCTCTCCCTTCTCATTGTTGTAACTTTTTTTGTAACTATTTAGTTGTACCATACATAAACATGAAATTACACTGATATTAATAATTATCTCTTTCCTTCTTCACAAACTGAGATGAACAAGCACCTGTTAATAACTGCTGCTTGCAATACCAGAGCCACTGGAACTTCACCTTAAGACTAAGTCTATATGGATTTGTGAATCTTAGCTCACTCCTAGTGAAGTTGTTAAATGATTGCTACTGTGCTTGATAGGATAGATGTGAATTTTCTATTGCCCTCTAAAGTTGCTTACAACAACCCTAAAACCCCCTGCTTTCTCACTAACTCTGTTGATCTTGGAATACCTGACTCCTGGAGGTTCTGTGGGGAGAACTGAGAGAGATGGTTGACTTTGTTTCCCTCCAGGATGAAAATACGGAATGAAAGAAAATAGGCTTGACTTAGGGTTCTGCTTAGTTAGGGTTTATACAGTACTTTTATGACTCAGAAACTGTTTAATAGTTATTTAAATTAGTGTTTTGTTAACCATATGCTTGCTTGCAACATTACCACATAAGAGCAATGATTCCTTAAAAACATTTCCTGGGAACTCTTCTCCTGTTTTGTATTGTTTTCCACACAGTAACAGTAGCTGTTCAGGAGATTTGGTGACTGGGCCTCAATAAATTGTTCCTGGGTTTTGGTTTTGATATTGCTATTACCTGCATCATCTGTTAATTATGTTATTTTATTTGTAATACGATATGTTAAGGAATGTAAGGTATTCCATAATTGTCAGATTTTAAAAAGTACATTCAGTTTAATTCTGTTTTTTCAAGACTCAACTTCTATAGATAATTCAAATTTATGTATTAATTATTATGCAGAATATAAACTAATGTATAGTTATTTACTCTTGATAGATTGTGGAATAAGTAGCATATGGGAAATCTGTCTGAGATTCCATTAGAAATCTGAGCCTGAATTGTGCTGGAGTCATTGTGCATGGTACTGTATACACCCATGGCAAAAAGCAAATTTGTATCTATTTTGAGTAGAGCTGGATTCAGAGCAGTTTATTTATTATATGTATGAGATTTACTTATTTCAGAGAATCCACTGAGCACTAATCTTGACGTTTTTCAGGTGACATTGAAAAAAGAAATTACAGTGCTTTTGAGTGTTTACTCCAAAGGTTCAAAACCTTGACCCATGCCCAAATGAAGGAATTTTCTTTTGTAAAAGAAGCTTGGAGATATGGAAATGTTCATTTTTCTAGCAAGGCTGAATTATTGCCACTTCAATTCAACCCAAATAAATAATTCTTCTGATGCCATCTTTCTTTTTCATCTCTAGAAAAAAAGAGTAAGCCTCAGCTTACACACTACACCTGTAATTTTCCATCATGTTTATAAATCAGAATTATTTGTACTTCTAATTTCAACCTCTGTATTTGTTTCCTTACACAGTAAGTGTCACAGTGGGTAAAACTTCATGTAAGCATTTTCATAAGAACAATTACATAAAAACATACATGTTTTCATTGCATCTAATATCAATGTCCATGTATTTAATTTAGACATCTTAAACATTTTCTTGGACAATATAGTTTAATTTCTGTAAGAAATCAGTTAAAGGGAATATTTCTGCTTCTGGATTTTTTAATTGTTTTTCTCTTGTTTCCTGTTTTCCCAAAATCTTTAAAATAACCCAAGTTGTGTCTGATTTCATGAATGTGTCTTTGTGCTATATACAGCTGCAGAAGAAACAAAAGAGATTCTGATGAAGGGTGAGGGAGGTACTTTCAATGACTAATGTGTTTGGCTTTGTCTTTTTGACTGTCTGCTAAACAGCAAAGCATTAGATAAAAGAAAGCAATAAGGGAAGAGTTTAAAAAGTGAGATAGAAAGGTGCAATAGTGATGCTGGCACAAACCTCCTCTACCTCTTCAAAACTATAGAGAAAAGTGTTTGAACATTGGGTAGACTGGGACAAGGGTGTTTGGCAGGAATACAGCCTAGATAAGTCAGTAATCCTTGGATCAGGGGAAACTGCAAATATCAAAAATCCTTCAAATAGACGGAAGTTTGAAAGAAAGAAGATGTTATCAAAAATGCACAATTGACATCTGTTAAAAAAAAACAGGATGATTTTTTGTTTGCTTTCTTTTAAGTGGTGAGATTTGCTCACAAAGAGGATTTATTCATTTATTACTTTTCCTAAAGGCTTTTTTACCTTGCAAAAAGTGATATAAATTACTTTGTTTTCTAAAGCCCTCTGTCAGCAGAAACACGCTGTGACAAGTTCCCTCAAGGAAAGTCCTGTAGGGTCAAATCCCAGCTGAAATTCCTGAGTGAGCCATGTTGAATATTTGCTACCTGACTGCTGGTCGGAGTGACTGGATTGCAGAATACCGACTTGAAAGGTAGAAAAGCCTGAGGATCTGTACATCTGGCAGTACAGGTGGCTGCTCATCAAACCAAACAACACCACTGGAGGTTTTTTCCTATCCAAGTGAACCCTATTACTGCTTATAAAAGTATGATCACTTCTTAAAAAAAGTATGATGAAATTGCAAAAGTAGTAATCATTGGTTATCTTCTATTGATTTTATATTCAGTAATATCTCTTCCTGGATCACAGTTAGACAACCAAGCTCAAGCAGTTTGTAATTGATTCTGCAGTTCAGGTACCTCGATGCACAGCACAGACTGATGCACAGCACCCACTGACTATCCTTCCTATCGATGTTTCTTCTTCCAGTGTAAACTGGAGTATAGGAAATAAGGGAAGAGGAAGAGAGAAAACTATATAGAATTGCAGCTCACCTTATCCCACTGCAGAATGCAGCCAGCACCTTCACCCAGGCTCAGGGTCTAACAGCCCTTGCAGTTTGGATGAACAATTAATTTTAACAGATGAAGCATGATGCTCAGAGTTGAGTAGGACAGCCACTTCTTCTCTTGAACTGGAGTGATTTCTGGGAATGAGATAGGCTGGATATGAGGTAACACACACAGTATCCATAGTTTTCTAGAAAATAATATGCTTTTTCTTCCCATATCACCACTGCAACAGTTTCAGTTACAAAGAAAAGGAATTGTGCCACCAGCTTGCTGTCCTGATTATTTTCTTGAGCACCAAGCTTGAAAAGGACTGATTTATTTCCATTTGTGTGCCTCTGTACATCTGTTAAGCTAAATAGATTTCTGTGCTTTTTATAGATGGAAATGACCTAGCTACTCAAAAATAATGTTTTATTTCATAAAGAAGATGCAAGTGAGTTAGAATATGGAGTACTGTTCAAAGCTTATTCTGTAAGTTATGGGGTTTTTATCAAGTATTTCAGAAAACATGTATTACCTCTCCTGTTTGGATACATTCAAATATACTATCAGTGTGAAAGAAGCTCAAATAAATGAATATAATATATCAAATATTACCAATACTGGATGTTCTTACACCATGTGAATACCAAGAAACTCCATTAAACTCCATTCTTTTCTTTCCCCCATAACACATCTTGGCTTAAGCCAGAATCATTTATTCATTTGTGGAAAATTCTACTGTAGGTTTGCATATAACTTGATGTAAGAAATTATTGGTTTTCTGACTGTATTTTAGGGATATATAAATCACTGAATGAGAGTTTGATGCATATATATATATATGTGTTTATATATATGTAATGCAGCTTTCACTGCTTATGGGCTGCAGCTGTAATAAGCTTGGAGAGGATCCCAGTAGGTTGTTCTAGCCACCGCAAGCCTAAACCATCTACAGCATCATCATCACATTTCACCTCATTCATCATGCCTATGTGAAATTATGTTACGGTAGCAACTATTTAGCTGCTTATGGATCGGATGTACATAGATGTTGAAGGAGCAAACTCAGTAAAGTCAGAGTATCAATAACCATAACAGGAATAGAATGGCAGAAATGTGTCTGAAATTCTTGTTATTCTTAATACTTTCATCTTATAAAAGCAGCTCAGGTGACCCACAGCCATTATTTTAAGGTAACCATATTTCCAACCACCAGGAACTGCACTGTTTTAGGCTTAAAATCCTAAATTGGCAGTTTTCTTTATTCTGCTCTGCCTACAATAGAAAAATTGAAGATGAAGGGCAAAAAAACCCACTGAGCTGTGTTTCTTCCATCTGTATAGCTACAAAGGGAAGGAAAAAAAAGGGGAAAACACACATAAGGTAATTATCAGGCTCTGCCCTGATGAAGATAATTGCCTCATTGTGTCCATTATAAATGTTGTCATGACTTTAGTTCAAACTTTGGCCTTAAACAATGGAGACCACAAAATGCATATTTGCTACATATTGAGAATGTTATGGGAATGAGATAAATATTTTATACAAGGGTAGCAATACATCTTGAACAAACATTATCTAGCCATAACATTCTGGCACATGGACTGCTGAAACAATTGTTGCTGGGGAGAGGTTCTGAGAGGAAGACTAATATCCCAGAGTAAATTTGGTTTTGAGTCTCCTTTTAGAAAGTCTTTCTCTTTTCAGTTCACTGCAGAAGGACTGTGTGGTGGGGCAGTAGGAGGTTTCCCTGTGTATGCCCTTCCCTGAGGGCTTCACTGTGGAAGAATCATTGTAAATTCACAAGATACTCTGTGGAGCCAAAGGACAAAAGTTGGCTCCATGGGAACAAACTGAAGATTCTGCCCGTATCGTTTTCTTTCTTTGTCCATTTTTTGGACTGGCTAATTCTAGAACATGAGTGTGAAGGGCAAAATCTACCTAGGAAATTAAGTAGAGCTTAGATGCTGGCAGTGACCCAGATACTGCAGACATAAATGCACTGTTAAATTTGTAGAATTCCTTGTTTGGTTCTCTGCCACTTTAACTACCAGCATGAAAAAGTCTAGAAAGTTTTTTTTAATGTAACAATATATTGATCACTAGATCCAGCAGTGACTTTCCTAAATGAATTTATTACAAGATGATAGCTTCCATGTTTCTATGAGCTACTAGGGGAATTCTTCGGTTTTCTCTTCTGTTTCTTTTTTCAGATTTTATTTACTGTCTTCTTTTTGGTCACAAATTTCTCCTTAGCCATTGCCAGCTTTTCTTCAATAACCAACTCTTTTCTCTTCAATAATCACCTCTTTTGGTTCTTGGCCTATTGTTATTCCTGTATTTTCTTATCTAGTCTCTTTCCTTTTCATCAGTTTTATCTTCCAGTTCAAATCCGGTTGTATTTCTAGGAATGTACTGTATGAATGCCACTTTTAGAAAGTAAGACTTAGACGTTTCTGGGACTCTGATAAATTGTCACAAGACCTTTTTTGTTATTAAACATCTGAAGATTGTATAGAGATGCTTAATTACTTCTATCAGATAAAGAATGAATAATTGAACCAAGAAAAACATGGTGTTGACTTTTTATTTAGCATGCATAAGACTGTGCCAGATACTCTGCTCTGATGGAAATAGGGAACTAGATGAAACATAGACTCAATTCACTTCATATTATTATACTATTTATAGTTTTATAGGGATAGTAGGAATCTTCATCAGGAAATTTAAAAAAAGAAAATTTGACAGAGCTGTTGCATTTCATTCCATAAGTTAACTTCAATAACTGAAGTACTCTTCAACTGCAACTCCTGATTTTTTTAGGCTTGAGGTAGCAACAAAACCAGGAATTACTTCTTCCATCTCTGGAAAGCATATCACACCCGTCTTGGGACATTATGCAAACCACAGGCCACCCTCAGCCAAGACTGAAGGTCAGCCGAAATGTTCAGATAGTCCAACATGCAGCTGTTTGTCTTTCCTAACATAGATCACCTCACCCAATTTCTGTCCTTATTGTTTGGCTTCTTTTCAAATACCACTCTACTTCAAAATATTGTTGTGTGTTCCTTGAAAGGACTAGCAATCTCTTCTGAAGGATCATCTATCATACTGCCCATTTATAAGCTCAAAGAGCCCAGATTCAAACTTACCAAGTGTGGACTCGGGGAATTCTTATTAGAGGAATCTTGGATGAAAAATTCACGTTTGCTGGAGTTTTGCTGCCTCTAGGATATCTCTTGTAGTAAGTCTTCCTTATAAAAGAAGCTGTGAACTGGCTCTAGATATACACCCTCAGAAATAACAAGCAGTATTTTTTAACTCCAAAATGAGTAACTTTTTTGTCTCTGGTAGATAGTCTAGACAACAGCTCTGTTGACTATTTAGGGAAAATTATAAACTTCTAAAGCTTGATGATGCAATCTATTGTAGCTGCAGGGACACAGCAAGAATATTGGTGCAAAACACTGAAGAACAGTTCTGAACACTAATGTTCTGAAATTACTAGAATTGCTAAGAGCATTGACATAAAAAAATGGCAATGTGCAGGTTTCAAAGCTGTTTTATCTACTGTTTTTTAGAAGATTAAAACACACATTAAAAATAAGCAATTCTTTTCAAAATATCTTCTACTGCAAAGAGTACCCGTGATATTTTTATCCACGCCAGTATTTTATTTGCCAGGGACATTAAAGCATTATATACATAATATGGAATACAAATTATAAAGGAGGTAACATTCTTTAGAAGAAACAGAAGAACAGCTTTTTTTTTTTTTCATTGGACAGATAGTTTTCTAATTCAGTATCTTCATTATTCAGTATCTTTATTATTGCAAACAGAAGAATATTTAAAGGACATTCTGAACTGCAAAAGAACACTCTAGACATTGGTCTGTGGTTCTTCTGTATGTCTATAACACAAAAAAATTCAAGAGACAGCTTCCTCATAACTGAGATTGTTAAAATCTTACTTTTCAGACAACACCTGAGACTCTACAGTGAAGCTGATGCTACGTAGCTAGTTGTGAAAAGTAACATGCCAGTTACTATAATTAAGGAGCAAAATATTTATGTTGTATGCAGGGCACCTTGATTAGAAGGTTTTCAGAAGACTCATTACAGGCAAGTGTTAAATACTACAAGATAGTTCTGTGAGCCAGACAGAATTCAGAGAACCGGAGATAATGAGACTATAAAGATGATATGTAGCTAGCAACAGTTGTGGCTTGCTTAGGGATACATGTAAACACAGTCTGGTTAGAACACTTAACAGGGTAAATGTGGAAAAAAAATAGAAAGGATAAAGCAAATAATACATCAAATGTTTTGTGGGCAGTTTTCAGGACATGCATGTTCTCTTTTAATGCTGAGAAGAAATAACATGTCATGACTACTACCTGTAGAATAAAAGCATTCAAGTTTTTCCCACAGAAGTGATACCTGCTCCTGTTACCCTTTCTCCAGTGTTATTGCTTGCTCTAGGTAATGTGGTAGCTGTCTGGGTTCATGCTGCCTTTAATTCTTCAGAGGCAGTTGTTTCCCTATTTTCCTGCCTTAACAGAGTCACTGTCTCCTCTCTTCACTTCCTCAGGTGTCTCAGTCAGAGTTGAAATCAAAGAAAATTTATTGTTAGAATGATGGAAAGTTGTAGTCAGTCTGGATGGGAAAACATGTTAGATATCTAAAAGACAAAACCTTAAAAAATTACAATTGCTCAATGAGAAATAGTCTCTAGTAGTACGCCCTGAACGGGTTACCCAGGGAGGCTGCAGGCTCCTTGTGACAGAAGGCTGTAAATGATGGGTAGGGCAATTAGCCATCAGGGCTGACACAGGTACAGCTCACCATGCTTTCCAGAAGTATGGATTCAATGAATAACTGCATTTTGTATCATGTCAATGAAAGTAGTTTGAATGTAACTAACACAGTCCTCATTTTCATTCCCAAGCACGCTATTTCCTGAGTAGGTATTAAAATCACTGTGTTTGGACTTTCTTGTTTGCTTATCCTTGTATATTATTAATTATACATTATGTATGTGGAAATCTCTCAGTGTAATCATAATCTTGTGTTGGTTTTAGCCTTTGACATTTATGTATCTGTGTATCTATTTGTATTTTTGTCATATTCTTCTCTTTGTATACCTACTGCATTTGATAAGAAGTCCGACTAAAACGAGAGATAATACAATCACCATTAATACAATACCTGTAGCTTGTCTTAGTCATGGAAAGGTTTTATAAGGCTAGGTTAAAATTCATTAAAACTAGCTTTATTTATTAAAATTGGCTTAGGTTTGTCGGTACAGAAATCAAACTTTGGCATGGCAACTGC